TGTATAATTACTTAGTAATCGATAATTAAAAATTGACATATTTAATCAATTAGGGTGCACTCTTTCCTGTTTGCTGTGATTTCACGCCTTAACTAATACTCAACCGATCATCATCAAATTTTGTACATGCATTGTCATCATGTGTACAGAAAAGAACATACAGTACCTTTAACCAGTAAAAAATACTGTTCCTTAGGGTTAGAAATAGAGAAAAATAGTTTTATGTGATCGCCGATGAGCATTGTCACGTATTTAGGACATTAACGTGCGACATTCTTACTATAAATTATACATCTATTTTGATTTCGGGATTTAGAGTATTAGGATTATTGTAGATTTTTTTTGTGAAATATGTTGACTTAAACTTTTGATAAAATTTTATAAAATGCCTAATTATTGCGTACTTTAAATTATTTACCCCTGATTTAATTATTTCAATCAATACCGATTTCTTTCTTTCTTGTTTCGTTAGCACTTTAGATGATTATTTACCTAACTTCTATTTTGTTGATTAACTTAGATTTAGATATAGCACATATTACATAACAACTTTATTATTTTTTTAATTAAGGGAACAAATATAAAAAAATCGATTGAGTTAATGATGTCGGAGGAATTTCAAATAGAATAGAATTTAGAGCTTCACCGTGTTTTATCAGTATTTGTACTATTAGTACAAAAGGTTTTTTTTCACAAAAAGAAATTGTTTCTTCTGGAATCCATACAATTTGTAAAAGAATGTCCAAGATATAGAAATGAAATTGTTCACTGGTTAACAAATTGCTACCTGCTGATGGCAAATATTGTAAATAGAATAATAGACAAATAGTACATTACCGTAAAATTGCTTATTAAAACCATAAAATGCATTAAATCAAAGTGAAAACAAATTAATAACGGAATCCGCACAGTTAAATAGTTTTCTCATCGTGCGAAATTGAAAAAAGGGTCGGCAAGTGAAACATTGTAATATCACCATTACTTTTCGATGAAAACTAACTGCTTTATATATACTTAGATAAATAGGTATATAAAAAATATATTTAGATAATCAGAGTATAAATGTTAACTAGAAGCTTAGATAGGTGGAGATAGGTGAGCTAGGTAACCCCATAATGAGAGAAGAATTTGATGTAGCATTAAAAAATTTTAAAGAACAATAAGGCACCAGGTATAGATGGGATACAGGCGGAAATTTTAAAACACGTAGGAAAATAGGTTAGAGATCATATTTTAGTCTCATTTACGAAAGGGGGAAAGACCCGGAGGATTATTAGTATAACCATACCTAAAAAGAGATGTGCGGATAGCTTCAAGGCATTTAAAACAATTAGCTTAACTTCCCCTGTGTTAAAAATCTTAACTTCTCGTACAGAGAAGAATAGAAAAAGGGGCGGAAGAAGTATTAGGGGAACATCAGTTTGGGTTTAGAAGAAATAGAGGAACGCGGGAGGTCATTCTAACTTTACGGGTGACAACAGAGAAAAGATAAAAAAAAGAGGGCGTACATAGGATCCTTCGTAGATTTAAGAAAAGCTTTTGATAATGTTAAATGGGACAAGATATTAAATATACTTAAAAATGTAGGGATGAGTTACAGCGATAGAAGAGTGATATATAGTTTGTATAAAGAGCAACAGACAATTATAGAGATTGAGCAGCGACGTATAGAAGTAAATATTAGAAAGGAAGTCAGACAAGGATACAGACTATCGTCACTACTTTTTAATTTATATATTAAAGATGCGATCAGTATCATTAAAGACAGGACAACTAAACGGATAGATATACAGGGACAAAAGATTAGTTTGCCAAGATTTTCAGATGATACAGCAGCGTTAGCATTTAACAATGAGGAGTTAGAGATAGCTTTACATAAAGTGGAAATGGCATTGGCAAAACAGTATTGTATGAAAATAAATAAAAGTAAAACAAAAATACTGGTATGCAAGGGAAGAAAAAGTAGGAAAAGAGCGAATATAAAGGTATGAGACGAAAAAATTAGAAGAATTTTTGTAGGTATGTATACCGGAGGTAAAATTAAGAAAACTTTCCTTACTTCTACCTAACAGCAAGAACATTCTGTCATTTTATAATTGAGCAAGTGATCAAGTAAAAAATGTTAATGCCATCAATAACTTGAATGAAGACATTCGGTGAAAGCAAGTTTACTACAGATTTGTTCTCGCGGTAAACGGTAAAACCTCGATTTGCTTCTTTCATACAGTTTAAGGAGCCTCTGATGAATAACAGTCAGAAAAAATGCAGCCAAAAAATAAAATAAATACTACGACCGAAAGTGCGAAACTTAAAGCCAGAAGGAGCTGAAGAATATTCTCTCAAGTCGTGGTACTTAATGTTTTGTAAAAGAGTTGACTTGATTTAAAACCATACTTTTCAAAAATCCACTTTTTGGCTTGGCTGAATTTTCCACCATTGGTACTGTGCTACTTCACTTGATGTCAGGCAATTTCCAGCTACCTGATATTGATCTGATTTAATATGTAACTGTTTATGCAATTAAAGTCTTTCAGGATGAAAGTATTTAAACCGGCATAGAATATCCTTAAAGATTTCTTAAAGAACCGCAATTCAAAACTATCTTTCACCGTTGATGGTTGCTCGTCTTTTAGTATGGGACAGAATTGCCATCCATCCCATTGATTAATAATACTCGACCTATGGACTTACAACCGACAACACAAACACCTTTATTAAAGAACGGTATTCTGAACTGCTTCATTCTTGGTGTTGAGTAAAATAATAAACTTGCTGTTCAGGGTACATCTGAAATTTTGATGTTTCATGATAATACTTGTAGAGACAGAGAATTTAGCATATCCTTAGATTATGACGCAATGATTAAAAAGTCAAAAGGATTCACGATCTAATGTAAGAAATAAAAAACGTTGAACATTTACGCAACGATTTAAAAAAAGTTACCTTATCGTAAATTTGAAAATTACTACGCCAAAACTTGATGGTTAATGAAAAAATGAAGTAGTCTTGAAAAAAAAATGAAGTAGTTTTAAATAACTACTTAATTTTACAAACACCTGAAATTTAACTATTTGTTCTCTCTGAAAAGTCAAGTGGCTTGAAAATCAAGTCAAGCTGTGAATTCCTATCTGTCTGTCTTATTACAAAAAAGAAAACCGTTTATCTATGTATATGCAGAATCACTATTTATTCTGTATACATATAAGACGTTCAAAAATGTTGATAATAAGCAACAAGTTATGGGTGGAAATCCTACAAAATTAATGCAAAAAAGAAAAGGAAAGAACTGGCGATGATAATAAAAAATAAAAAATTTAACTTCTGATATTGATTAAAACAGGTAGGAGTATTTAGAATAAAAATACGAATTTGCAGAACGAGACCTGCAAGCACATGATAAAAGAATGTAAAAATATGAAGAAGGAAGACATTGGATGGAAGTGTAAAGAAATGGATAACAAAAAAATTAGAGGAAAAAAAGGAGACGGAGGAATAAAGTTAATCTATACCTGCAAATATATAAAATCTTACATCCTAAAATATGTAGTAATCGGAAGGATAAAAATTTAAAATCAATTTCAATAGAATTGAGACGAATCAGTTATAACCAAAAATATCAATCTTTGTACAATTATATACTTGTAGTATAAGTTAAAAATCTTTCTGTTTATATGCTTTGTCAACTTTTATGGGCAGTTCTTTAATTTTACCACGTTTTGTTCGTGTGCCTCTAGTTCAAAGGTTAAGCTGTATACAGCGCAGAAGGTCAAATGTTTAGAGTAATACCCAATTATCTCGAACTTTTATGAGGACTTTTGTTCTACTATAGTGATGTACCGATCAAACATACGTTCATACGTATCTTAATTGCATATGTACTCTGTAATTAGCCATAATTAGTAATGAATTTGGGTTATTAAGTCCTTGTTACGGATATTTATAATAACAAGTTGGTACTTTTAAAAGCAACGGAGTATACACAATATATACATGGTTTTCAATAGTTTACTACCCCTTACATAAGAAAAAGTGTGATTAGCCTTCAAGTAATCATTGAGGAGTAATGGTTTCTGAACTGACCTATGGGCCTACACACATAAGAAGTATTTTCGGAGAAAGTTTTCATATGCGTGACTTTTTTGCCGAATTATGAAAAAATATTAGATTCTAAAATGCTATTCAGAAGATATGAAGCGATAGGGTTGAAATAATTTTAGGTCACTTTCCAAATAAATTAAACCATAGTGTAGCGAGCACGAGCGTGTTTGTATGCGATCGGGCATACGTGTGTGTGAGCGGCTTATCGATTCGCCGACTAGCCGCAGGCGCCTTTCTTCATGTGCGCCGTATCTGTAAACGTGTGTGTCGTACCTGAGTTCCGGGAAAGCAATTAAACAGTTCAAAGAAAACGAAATTTTTCCGGACGGCTGGAGAAAGTTCCCTAAAGAGACCAAAGAGTATTTAAAGGAAGAGACGATCGCCAACGGAGAGCAGAAATAAACTGACCGTTCCAGAAGTGAAGAGTAGAAATAAATTGACCGTTGCAGAAGTGAATCAAGAAATAAATAGCACAGTGAATAGCGACAGTAGTGTAAATAAATAGAATAATTACCTAAGTTTAGTAATAATTTAATTGTGTATTTAAGTTCAATAATAATTAGTGTAAATAAATAGTTTTCGTCTTAGAAGTTAATTTGTTAAACCCACGAACATTATAATATCAAAATAAGCCCATTCGTACTATAGGTACCATAAATAATAAGAAGATACATAGAGAAAGGCGTAAAACAAAATTTAAATTTTTATGTCGTTACTTTAGAAAGAATATCCACTTGAACCTGACTTTCATTTGTATGCATTTGCTTTTTACCACAACAAAAGTTCGCTCATTGTCAGACTGACGATCGTGGATGGCCTTGGGCCTTATGTTTTTACACAGCAGATAAAATAAGAAGTGCAAGCAAAGACTAATTAGGAATGGTTACAAGTGAAAACTTTACCAGCGCTTCCTTTTCGGCTTCGTTTACCATAGCTTCGATTTCATTGGGAGTGAGAGGTCTGTTGAAAGGAGGCTTATTGTTACGAATTCGATGAACAGCACCAGGTTGGCCTTGACCCACAAACGGATTTGATGGATCATTTCTGTGACTGATAAGTCTAAAAAATAAAAATGACAGGCATTAAAAAATGTTTAACGTAAAAACGATATTTTTTTATTATTTACGACTAGAGTCCGTCTTTTCGACATATGGGCACCGTTGTCGATGGTGCGATACTCAATAGCAAAACCTAATCTAACCCCTTGGTTCATATGAATGAATGAAATTGCTAAGCCACGAATGGATTTATAATTACCAACTTGAATCAAATACATTTGTATCATACTTTAGTTAACATAAAACAGTTGCTTTATATGACGAGTATGATCACCCGAAACGAATAAGCAGTACCCTCCTAGTCATACAATGCTGCATTTAATTAGAGCCCAACTTCGTTAAAATAATTTTAAAAATTTTACTGTATAGTTTATGTCAATCTTCGCATTCCTCTAGAACTCGAGCAACCTACATCTTTAACCATTAAAGTAATATAGTCTTGATATACCTCCACCCCTTCTAACTCCTATTTTCTATGGATTGCCATTGTGCTTTCTGTTCTTCTATTCTTTCTAGTATCTGTCTAGATTATTTTGCATCCTCATTTCAGTATTAAAAAAAAGACGAAGAAGCGCTGATTTCTGTGATGAAATGCTTTAAATTTTTCACAAAAGCTCTCATGAGATTAAGATTTATTAGTGAATATTTACTAGATAATCGTCGGTAGGTATTCGTTATTAGACATCGACTTACGTATTTCAGATTTGATTTTTTGGAGAATTTAGTATATCCTTTGACCATGATGCAAATACAAAAAAATACAAAAGGATTCACAATCTAATGTGGGAAATGAAAAACTTTGAACATTTACGCAACGATTTAAAAAAAAGTTACAATACTTTCTTCCAATTATAAATCTTCTGATATAGCAGTATCAGCATCTAGGAAGGAGGACCTAGAGATAGCTTTAAATAAAATGAAAGCGGTACTGACAGATCAGTTCTGTATGAAAATAGATAAAAGTAGAAATAAAATACTGGTATGCAAGGGAAGGGAAAGTAGGGAAAGAGCGAATATAAAGATAGGAGAGAAAAAATTAGAAGTGGCTGATTTTAGATATCTAGGAAGTAAGATAAGTCAGGATGGAAGAAGTAGTAGGGATATATAGCAGAGGATAGCGCAGGGTCGTGTCACATTTAATAAAAAGAAGTCACTTCTATGCTCGCGAACGATTAATTTAGAAATTCGAAAAAGGTTGTTAAAGGTCTATGTTTGGAACCGGGCGTTGTACGGGTACGAAACATGGACATTGTGCACGGCGGAAGAGAAAAGGTTAGAAGCCTTCGAAATGTGGTGTTATAGGCGAATGATGTGGATAAATTGTCTAGAAAAGGTTAGAAATTAATAGGTATTAGAAAGAATAGGAGAACAGAGGACTCTATGGAATTCAATAAAATATAGGCGAAATAGTTTGGTAGGACACCTTCTCAGGCATGAAGGTCTAGTCAGAGACATATTAGAGGCAGAAACAGGAGTTAGGAGGTGTAGAGGTAGACCTAGATTAGATTACTGTTCGCAAATAGTTAAGGATGTGGGTTGTTCTAGTTTTAGAGAAATGTGAAGTTTAGCTCAGGATATGAAAGAGTGGAGGTACGTGTCCAACCAGCCTTAGGACTGACGACCTTATGATGATGACTATGAACTTGAAAATTACTATTCCAAAATTTGATATCACTAAATGATCAATGAAAAGATCAAGTAGTCTCGAAAAAAATGAAGTATAACTACTTGATTTTACGAACACCTGAAATTTAACTATTTAACTGTCTTGTCTAATATGTTCAGCATTTCAAAAAAAAATATGAATAAGATTAAATGCTTTCAACTTTTACAAAAGCTCTGATAAAATTAAGATTTATTAGTGAATATTTACTAGATAATCGTCGGTAGGTATTAGTTATTAGAAATCGACTTAAGTATCTCAGATTGGATTTCATATACTTATTCACTTTCTTCCAATTATAAATCTTCTTTAATTGAAACGTTGTACGTATTAACATCAATACATACGAGTGTTGCATATCTAGTATATACCTTCTCTCTATATACATACATACATACGAATAACGGTTATTGCAGGTAGGTTAGTAATAGTAAGTGTGTAATATTGCTAATCGTTAGTACCTACTCTTGATTCCTTAAACATGAACATTCTCTAAGTAGCAACGTTCTTTCATTCAAAAGATTAATAAACCATCCTTCTAATTAATTTCAAATTTACCTATTCTACTCGAACTTTGTATGAATGCTCATCCTAAATATTCTTATAAAGAGATTAAGATGAGGTCTTATTTCCCACAATTTGCAACGCATTAATGTCTGTGGAAAGTGGAACATAATGCATTTAGCAGTTTAATACGTCTTTCAGAAATTAAGAAAACGAAGCTTTGAAGTAAAAGTGTAACATTCTTTACACAGATGATTCTGTTATTTATGTGTTAGTTGCGTGAAGCAAAGGCAGATGGTGTTTACGTTTTTCGCGCACATCTAATATGTAAATATTTCTTGTTATTCTCCCACATCTCTCGAACAGTTTGATGGATTTTAATAAACTATGTATCATTACCCTTAACTCATCATTGATATTGCTTTAGAGTAGCAGCGTACACTAGAAGAATATTCGACTAACCCATTCTTTAATTTCTGGAACTTCTGGATCTTCTGGGCCATTTGACTAAGAAAAAAGTCCCATATTTTTTCCCAACTTTTTTTGATTGGACCGATATTTAACTATACTACCATTTAAATGAAACTTTTTCTTTGTATAGTAAATCAAAGGTCATAGGACGATAAGCATATAGTGAATCAGCCCCTACGGTATATCTGGATTATTGTTTGAGGGTATACTGGTGCTAATGAGATACGTTAATCCTGAAAATTTTAGATCTCTTTAGATCTCTATCTATTATGGTTTTTGAATAAATCCAAAAAGCGAAAAATCAGAAAAAAAATCCCAAAAACGGTTAAACCGATTTGAATGAAATTTATAAACGTTAGAGACGTATAAGGGCTTTGCTCGGAAAAAATAACAGCTTATAATACTTATAATAATCATTAAAAACAGCCAATGTTGAAATAAACTTTTTTATGTCATTTCCAATGTAGAATAAACTCTCAAATCGTTAAATCGATCAGAACGGTACGCCGTATTGAAAAACAATAAAAACCGATTTCTTAATATAAAAATTGATTTATTTCAGTTTTTATACCTTGAATAAACAGGAAAGCAGGTTATTTGATTAATTTATAAGTACAAGTAACATATAACAATAATTTAAAAATTATTTTAAATTATGATATTCAGAAATGAATTATAATTTAAACTATACTTA